CGCCTCCTGGGTTCAGGCAATTCTCCTGCCTCAGCCTCCTGAGTAGCTGGGATTACAGGCACGCGCCACCATGCCCAGCTAATTTTTTGTATTTTTAGTAGAGACGGGGTTTTACCGTGTTGACCAGGATGGTCTCGATCTCTTGACCTCGTGATCCACCCGCCTCGGCCTCCCAAAGTGCTGGGATTACAGGCGTGAGCCACCGCGCCCGGCGGCTTTTTTCTTTATAAATAATTACGCACCCTCAGGCTGGTGCAGTGGCTTACACCAGTAATCCCAGCACTTTGGGAGCCTGAGGTAAGCAGATCACTTGAGGTCGGGAGTTGGAGACTAGCCTGGCCAACGAGATGAAACCCTGCCCTACTAAAAATACAAACATTAAGGCCGCGCCAAGTGGCTCACGCCTGTAATCCCAGCACTTTGGGAGGCCGAGTCAGGCGGACCACCTGAGGTCAGAAGTTCGAGAGCAGCCTAACAGTGAAACCCCGTTTTGTATTTTCTACTAAAAATACAAAAATTAGCTGTGCATGGTGGCGCCCGCCTGTTAGTCCCAGCTACTCGGGAGGCTGAGGTAGGAGAATCGCTTGAATCTGGAAGGCGGAGGCTGCAGGGAGCCGAGATCGCGTCACTGCACCAGCCTGGCGGCAGAGCGAGACACCGTCTCAAAACAAAAAGAAAAACAAAACAAAACAAAGGAGCGTTTAGAACGACGAACTCCGTAACTTAATTTAGGGGACGCGGGTTCCGTTTTTCACCGTAGCCGTCCTCTATGGAGAAACTGCTTGGCTTCCCGCAGACTTTATTTAACACCTGCCAAAGTTCCATGCTCGGAATCTGCCTCCGATTCAAGCTACTTAGGCCTCCGCAGCTTCTAAATCTCCCTGCTGTCCGGCGACAGCAAGAGGACGAAACCCCGCCCCGTGTGGAGGCGGGGCCGGACGTGAACGCGCTGCCAAACCGGGCACCTCCCACAACCCTCTAGCCGGAAGCGGCGCCTGCCCTGACGCCCGCCTGGCGGGAACCTGGGCTCGCCCCATCCCAGCGATCCGCAGTCAATTGGTAGCGCCTGCACGTCGCGCGCGGAGTTCGATTGGCGTTGCCTGGGGAGGAGGAACCGCCGCCGCCGCTGCCGCCGCCGCCGCGGGCTTCGTTTGTGAGGAAGGGCCTAGGCCCGAGCTTGCCGTGGTGGGGCTTGCCGCGCGCCGGGGCTCGCCTCCTGCCGTGTCCTGCGCTCCAGCTTCGCCCACTTCTCCTTGCCAGCAGGCTGGGCGCGGAGAAGACCTGCCGGAACCATGGAGGACGAGGTGGTCCGCTTTGCCAAGAAGATGGACAAGATGGTGCAGAAGAAGAACGCGGTGAGCGCGGCGGTCGGCGCGGGCCGGGAGGGAGGCCGGGCCGAGGCCGGGTCCCAAGGGGGATCCCCTCTCCCTCTCCCTCTCCTCCCCCTGCAGCCTCCCTTCGGGGAGCCGTGCCCGGCGCCCCCGCGTCCCCAGGAGAGTGTCCGGGCCCGGGGCGCCGGGTCCCGCGGCCACCGGCGTTAGGACCCGATCGCTCTTGTATTTCCAGTCCCTCCTCCCTCGTGCCGCGTAGTAAACCTGATCGATTTAAGGATTAGGGCACATTCTCCGTTGATTTTAAACTTTCGTAGTAGTAAAACCTCGGCAGTTTAGCTTAAGAATTGAAGCGTAGAAAGTCCTCGGAATTTGAAAGAATGCACTCTTCAGCGATCCGAGGCCAGCATCTAGAATGAGCATCAAATAGAGGCTTGTGATCAGTTTTAGGCATCAGTCTGGTGACATGTAAAACTCCTGGATCTCGTTTTTGAAGAGGGCTAAGCATCCGTCTGGTTATCTCAACTACGCTACATGTTTGCTGAACGATTAAAAAGGTAAAATGTGCCAGTCTCTTGGCAAGCTGCTAAACGTTTTATAAAAAGTGGGTCTTGTCCTGTCGTAATGTGCAGAAGAGTTATGACCAAAGCACGCACACTCACCAGAGTGCTGGTAGAGAGATTTGCACAAATTATATTGTAGGATGCTTTCTGAGTGGTTTGCAGTTAATGCTGGGGGCATTTTCTTGTTATTGACGCATATTTATGTGAGCATGTCCTTTTGTGGTTTGTAAGAAGTCATACGACCGGTTTCTACTGTTTGTCCATTTGTGTGGCACTTCTCAGTCCACCTTGCTTCAGACTCATCTCTTCTCAGCTAAACTTCTATAATTGTTTTCACCTAAATTTGTCCCACCACGCTCGGCACATTTTACCGTCAATATACCTGAAATAATTTTCTTACATCTATGAAATAAATTCCATGTCAAACTAATGTGAAGAGAAAAGGAATGCTCTCATTTGTACTGCACTTTGGAGTTAAATAGCATCCGTGCAAAATTCTTTTGTGACTCACACAGAGCTGTGAGTACATAAAGGGTATCCATTTTACAGGTTAAGACACTGAGAGAGATTAAATACTATTACTCAAATTAGGTACTGTGTATTTGGAATAAGCCAGGACCCAGGTTTTCTTCTGGACAGCATGGTTTCCACATGACAGCTAGATCAGGAATTAGTGTTAGCAGTAAGTACGAAAGACTTTTAGCAACCTCTGTTCCCTTTTTTCCTTTAACGGGAAATACTGGGCATTCTCCAGTATTTCATTTCATACCCTTTACTCTGTCTTTGAAATTTTGGCCTTTTAAAGTATGTCCGGCCCAGAGCGGTGGCTTACGCCTGGCATCCCAACACTTTGGGAGGCCGAGGTGAGTGGATCACGAGGTCAGGAGTTCGAGACCAGCCTGACTAATGTGGCAAAACTCTGTCTCTACTAAAAATACAAAACAAACAAACAAACAAACAAACAAAAACTTAGCCAGGTGTGATGGCGGGCGCCTGTAATCCCAGCTACTCAGGAGGCTGACGCAGGAGAATCCTAGAACCTGGAAGGTGGAGGTTGGGTGAGTGGAGATGACGCGACAGCACTCCAGTGTGGGCAATGGAGCGAGACTCCGTCCTCCACTCCACCCCCCGCCAAAAAAATAAAATCTCCTGTTCGTTTTCTGTTATAGATATTACCAGTGCCATGCCCCCCCCCATTGATATGCCCCTTCATTCCCCACTTCAAATTCTTATTTGATCAGTTATGTGGTTATTGGAACATTTCCGTTACTTTGTTTAAACCGGAAAATTTTTCTCTGTGCCTGGAGATCCCCAGACTTGCACAGCAGAAGCTCCCAGGGAAAAAAGCCATTTGTTGGGTAATTTTCTCTCCAACTTAGGCTGTAATATGTATCGTTTAATCATCTAATGCATTAGGTGTTTGTTTGATTTTCCTTCTTTCCTTTTAATAGGTGTTTCTTAAAACACCTTAGTGGACAAGTGTGGAGAAGATAAGTTCATATTTACCTGCAGTTCTCAAATTGTCAACGGATGTTCAGATCTTTTGTAATGAGCCTGCAAGAAAATGAGAATAAACCCCACAGATAATCCTCAAATCTAAATTTTCTTCTCAAATCTAAGTTTTCAGATAATTCAAAACTTTACCAATATGAAAACTTGCCTCCCAAAAAGAAAAGTAAAACTGACTGGCTTTTACCTCCCCCCGACCCCATCATTTTCCCTGCCTGTCCTCTGGAAATTCAAACAGGCTGATGAAATACAGAGAAAGAGAAATGGTCAGAATGACACTCCTCTTTCCCCAAATGCAACCACAGATGTTTTTTTAAGTGTTCAATAATTCAACAGAAAGTGTTTTAGGGGTTGTAGAATTATGGTATATTTGCTTCTCTTTTTTTCTGTGGTTGTCAGGTTTTTCTCTCAACTTTTTAAAATATTTTATATTATGAAAAAGTTAACTTTGTTTTTTTTTGTTTGTTTGTTTGTTTTTTCCTGGAGACAAAGTCTCATTCTGTTACCGAGGCTGGAGTGCAGTGGCACAGTTTTGGTTCAGTGCAACCTCCACCTCCCGGGTTCAAGCAATTCTGTTGCCTCAGCCTTCCTAGTAGCTGGGACTACAGGTGTGTGCCACCATGCCTGGATAATTTTTGTAATTTTTGTAGAGATGGGGTTTCAGCATATTGGCCAGGCTGGTCTCAAACTCCTGACCTCAGGTGATCTGCTTGTCCTGGCCTTCCAGAGTGCTGGGATTACAGATGTGAGCCACCACACTCAGCCCGAAAAAGTTAATTTTGAAGAGTAATAGTTGTCATCAGAATTGACAAATTTAAGTGCTAATTTGGGTATCATTTAAAAAATATTTTAACATGCTGCTGCTTTACCTGGCTCATTTCGTTTTAATAAAACCATAGCTGTCACACTTAACGAAAATAAAAACAGCTGCCATTTATTGAGCCATTACTCTGAGGCAGTTATTTCTGCTAAATACTTACCCACCTTATCCCATTTATTCCTCAGACAACTTTGTAAGATGAATATTATCCTCATTCTGAAAATGAGGATCCTAAGTATTTAGAAAAGTTAACTGAATTGTCTTAAGCCAGATAGCTAGTAAGTGGCCAAGTGAAGATGTGAATCTAAATCTGTTTTGCTCCAAAGCTAGCACTGCTCTGTTAAGCTACATTGTCTCTCTAGAAGACCCTTGGTCTGTTTTTGAACCATGCATGGATACAGTTAAGTGAATATAAAATCAAGAAGTAAGGGTATGAACTTGCTGTTTTGGGGCAGGTGAGTTTCCCTAAATACCTAGATCAACATCCTGACCCTAGTTCTACCCAGGATGTTGTCCCACGTGTGTACTTGATCTCAAGCAGTCTTCTCAGTAGTTTTACAAGTGCACATGACCAAGCCACAATGAACCACAGAAAGTAGTTTGAAATTTTTAGGTATCACCTGTTTTCTGCTTAAGCTTTTTTCTTGTTGCTTTGATTTGATATCGGTAACTAAGTCTGACTCCTAATGTGGGTTTAAATCCTGGTTTTTCTGAACTTTAGCTTTGTGATTTTAGGCAAGTTTTTTGTCAACCCTAAAATGTTCTTTGTCATGGTAAATTGGAGATACATAGTAAAAATTAAGTGACTATAAAATGCTTCTTCCTGTAGGATTGTAGACCTAAAGTATGTACTAAGGCCCAAAAAACAATCTGAGGCCGCCTTTCTTTGTAAAGGATTCATGTAGCTTATAGGAGGAGTGAGGCAAGAACATAAAGTTTTGAAGTTTATGGAGAGATTTTGTAGGTAGTGTTGAGGTTTATTTATTTCATTGAAGGCCCAAGTTTGGGTGAAATTAAATTGCAGGGAGAGAAATTGAAATTAGATGTTAGAATTTCCTAGGAGCTGGGATACCTGAAATATTTACATTTATAAGTACCTGGGTTAAAACAACAACTGCGACAAAACTTTCATATCTATATCAGAGTTAGATTAATTGGCATAGCTGTACAATTTTTAATAACAGCTTTATTGAGAAATGCAGTGAAGTTCACTCTCATAGTTGACTCTTGAACAATTCAGGGGTTATGGTTCTTACACCATCCCCTCTCCCTACCCACATGCAGTCGAGTAGTATAGCTTTTGCAGTAGTATAACTCTTGTAGTCATGTAGTCAGTATGAGTCAGCATGAACCAGCAGTATAACTCATGCTGTCAAGAGTATAACTTTGACTCCTAAAACACAGCCTACTGTTGAACAGAAGCCTTACTAATGATAACTTAAACCGTAGATTAACACATTTTATATATGTATTATACATTTTTTTTTTTTTTTTTTTTTGAGGCTACGTCTAATGCTGTTACCCAGGCTGGAATGCAGTGGTACTATGGCTCAGCTCACTAGAGTCTTGACCACCTGGACTCTGGTGATCCTCCCACCTCAGCCTCCCGAGTAGCTGGGACTACGGTGCGTGCCACCACCACACCCAACTAATTTTCTATTTTTAGTAGAGATGGGGTTTTGCCATTTTTCCCAGGCTGGTCTCTGCATCCTGACCTCAGGTGATCCACCTGCCTTAGCCTCCCAAAGTGCTGGGATTACAGACATGAGCCACTGCACTCAGCTTTTTTTTTGTATTTTTTGGAGAGATGGGGTTTCACCATATTGCCCAGGCCATTCTAGAACTCGTGGACTCAAGTGATCTGCCTGCTTTGGCCTCCCAAAGTATTGAGATTACAGACACTCAGCCTGGGTGACAGAGTGAGACAATGTCTCAAAAAAAAGAAAAGAAAATTATAAAGGAGAGAAAATATGTTTACTGTTCATTAAGTGGAAATGGATCATCATAAAGGACTTCATCCTTCTTGCCTTCACATTGAATAAGCTGAGGAGAAAGGAAGAGTTGGTTTTGCCATCTAGGGTGGCAGAAGTGGAAGAAAATTCTCATCTCATGTTAAGTGGATCTGTACAGTT